AGTACATGAATGTACATGAATCCAAATTTCTTTTTGTTTCTATATAACAGTTTTTATCACAACTTTTTGATAGAGGAAACAAGTGTGCTTACTACCTTATCCTAACTACCTTGTGCTGCGCTTTTGAACCATGGGTAGAAATAAGACAGGTAGTTACCCAAATAAACCACTATAATTGTGCACTGTTGAGTCCACTCCACTTTATAGAGGCCCTGTGAATAATAGCTCTGGACCCTGTCCTATCCTGAGCTAATCTCACTGTCTCTGACACATCCACTCTCAGTAGTGCAGTCACTGTATCAATCCATCTAATCCTGGATCTTCCTCTCCTGTGCTGATCCTCTATCTTTATTTACAACCATGTCCTTCTCCAAGTGGGCCCTCCTGGCAGTATGGCCAAAGTATGTGAGACAGTTTCAGAATCTTTGCTTTCAAGGAACAACTTGGTTTCACCCTTTCCAGGACAGGACTGATACTGCAATAAGTGAAAGGTATTGGGGGAAAAATTGTACTACACTACGCAAAGTGGGATCTCCAGCAGGTGTGTCTCTCAAACTCCTTTTTCTTCTTGTCAGACTTTCTGGTGAGAGGATGGCCAAGTTGTCTGGTTGAAAACATGCCAAGGTCCTCCCAGCTCTCAACAACCATTACACCTAGAACTGGCAAGTCAGAACACTGCCTGAGTTTTTAAATTATATTATTAATTAAGAAAAGCTTACTCTGTCCAGAACTAAACTATCAACTATCTCACCAACCTTGATTGTAAAGTAAAAGTTGAAGCTCCAGAGCATAAGCATTCATGATAATTAAAGATTGAAAAATTCAAATGAAGCTGATTTGTTATAATAAAGTTATGTGTTATTTGAATTTGAGAGATATTGACTATTTCTTGCCCTCGTGCTTTAGCCTTTGTGATGAAAAGTAATAGTAACTATTGTATCACAACTGGGCTGATTGGCAGCATCATGATAGATGGTGAAGAGATTAAGATTGTTGCCAGCTTCAGTTTACTTGTCTCTACAATCAACATTCTTGGTATCAGCAGCCAGGAAATGAAAGATAAATTGCTTTGGGAAAGTCTGCTGTGAGTGACCTCTCCAAGGTACTGAGAAGCAATGATGTCAGTTTGGAGACTAAGGTGCGCCTGATACAGGCCATGGTCTTGGCCATTATTTGCTGTGCTTCAGAGAGCTGGCTAAGACTAGGGATGATAGAAGGAGGGTTGATGCCTTTGAACTTTGGTGCTAGTGAAGAATATTAAATATACAATGGACTGCTAGGAGAACAAAGAATTTCGTCCTGGATAGAATGAGGCTAGGCTGCTCCTTGGACACAAGGATTCTGAAGCTTCTTCTGACATACTTTGTACACGTTTAAGGACGGACCAGACCTTGGAGAGGGATGTCATGCTTGGTAAGGTGGGGGGACAACACAGGAGAGGAAGACTCTCAATGAGATAAATGGATTCCAGCACTGGGGTAATGGGAATGGACGTGTCAGAGAAAATGAGATTGACAAGGGACAGAGCAAGGTTTAAGGCTGTTGTTCATAAGGTCGCTATGAGTTGCAAGTGACTCGACAGCACACAACAACAACAACAACATATAACATAAAGTTTGTACATCTGCCTTCATTCAGTACTTGATTGGATAAACTCCAAAAGGGAATATTTACCTCAGAGAGATGCAATATTTAATATTTTTAATTACATTTCATGCAATCATTTTGATACACTGTAGTTCAGTCATGTCTTGAGTTTCATATAATCATTTATACAGGGACCTCTGGTGGTCATATACATCGTGTTTTAAATAATTTATTTCTACTGGTCAATATCTTTTATTACTCCTTCTCATTAAATCCCTGTAGCACTTTCCTTATTCTACACCTTGTTCCCCTATAGGTATCCACCAATCTCTGCTGATCTAGTGGATCGGGGGTTGTGGATAGGATTTTTTTCCTTCCGACTTCTTCTATCCTTCTCCTCTTGCTGTTGCATTTTTCAACAGTTACATAGTTCCTGCTCATATTTCCTAATTGCAATAGCCATATTGGGTGGTTTTTTGTCAATGTTTCCCAGGATTCTCCTCCTTTGTCCCAATCTTTACAGTGTTAATTTATTATACATTTCATTTCTCCTCTCCCAACCTCCCACACTCCCTTGTTATACTCCTATTTTCACAATTATGGTCATATACAATGTTTTATTTAAATAAATTTATGTTAGGTCACGGACTCAAGAGAAAGGAACCAGAGAAAAAGAAAACAAGCGAGCATAAAAGCAGATATTTTAAAGGGGCTCCTGAGAGAAATTCCTTGTTCTAGAGAGAAAGAGAGAGAGAGAGACCAGGGAATCTGCGTTCCAAGGAGCCCTGGGACAGGTTTTTATAACAGGATCTTAGGGAAAGGGGAAGGGTAAAGGCATTCCAGTGTAGTTAGCTGTTGTTCACACCAGGTGTATGAGCATTCTTTTTGTTGACATACTACAATTCTCAGCATTCTGTGTCAGTGGACCACATCTTTCAGTTGGCCGTTTACAGGACTGAAGACTCCAACAGGTCACCACAAGGCACCAAAGGATGAGACAAGGTCATCATCCCTCCCCTGGACTCTGGGAACATTTAGATGCAATGGATTTATTACTTGAAGTAACGGAGCAACAACTTTCTAAAACAGAGAAGATCACAACCAAGTGATTTCACTAGTGGTATAAAATAAACATTTAAAGAAATACTGCTAATTTTTCTAAACATCTACCTCAACAACATGAGAGAAAATATTTCATGATTCATTCTATGATGTCACCACTATGAAATTGCTAAAAGAGAAATTCATTACTAGAAAGGAAATTATAGGGAAAAAAAGGTTTCTATTCTTCTACTGTGCAATTTAAAGCCTCTGAAAACCTTGAAAGTCAGCTATGAGTTAATCCTGACTCCACAGAAATTCCTTGACTCAACCTGAACCCAATAAAGTAGCAAAATGCTGTAAAACACAAATAAGGGCCATTTATCTCTAATAAAAATATTCCATTCTAGGCTCTTAAATCAGTTTTTGAAATTCAGTCTAAAAAGAATTTGGAAATGGAATTTCCTCTTTCTGATTTTGATGGATGTGCAACTTATTCTTTGGTTCTGGGACTTAGTTTTTGTCTCAGAAAATCTCAACAGCTATGACTCCGTATTTTTCTTGCTTTCCTGAGCATCTCCTCAAATGCATACTTGACTTTCATGATTTGTGGTTTTTGTTGTATTGTATTGGTGGTTTGTTTTGTTTTGTTTTTTTGATGGCGTAGAAATCCTGTCACTTTTTGTTTTTTGTTTCTTTTTCGTATTTTTTAATTTTAATTGTGATTTTAATGTAAGTTTACAGAAACTTGTCTTTTCATTCATTCATTCTTTGTTGCACATATTCCCCCTCCCCCTGCTTTGTGTTCTTAATTTTTTTTTGTTTTAGTCTTCACCATTTGTTTATTGCTAATGCATCATATTCAAATGAGTACACATATTCCCTTTACAAAAGTATGGCACACAAAAAGCCTTCTGTGCAAGTTCCATGTTCCCTAAATTCACAGGCTGTGAAAGTGCTCCCAGGCCGCAGTTGCCAGGAGACCCAAAGAGGAGGCTCTGAGGCCCACATGAGCCCTAAGCTTGACACCCTACTGGGGCTCCTCTCAGTGCACACTGCCAGGTCCCATGCCAGGTCCAGCAGCGTGCAGAGAATGACAGCATCCACGTCCCAGCTGCGTTGCCAGTGAGGGGTTTGGCGTGTCGTCCTGCAGGCCTGGGTCTCAAAATGCTGAAGACCATGGACAGGTACTGCTCATAGGACACCTGAATCCAGCCGTCCTGCTCTGTGTCATAAGGCCGGAATATGTCTGTCAGTCTCTGTAAGACAATGCAGCCTTGGATGACGTAGTCGAAAGCGATCTGCCCCCGGCCCTGCCTGTCAAACTTGCGAATGAGAATGTCATGGAACTTGTCCGAAAGCCGGTACGCAAAACCTGAGAGGGCCTACTTGAGCTCGTTCTTGTGGATCATGCCCGAGTGGTCCCGGTCTTACCTGTGGAACACGTTCTGCCAGTCGATGACGTACTTCCAGACACCGGTGAACTCACTGAAGTTGACGCCAGCCTTGTTCTCTTGGTCAAACATGGATATGATTGACCTGACAGTTACTGGGTTGAATGGCGTCCATGTACCTTTGGAGAGCGCCTGCTACAGCTCCTTGTCTGAGATCACCCCGCTCCTGCCTTTATGGAACCTCTGGAAGACATTCCACAGGAAGCTCTGGTCCTGCAGCGCCGTGCCCGGAGCAGGGGCGCGTGGGCTCCAGTGCCAGGGCGGCAGGGTTACCATGGGCAGAGGAGAGAACCCCTGAGGAGCAGGGCTCAGGTAGCAGCAATGCTAATCGTGTTCTTAAATTTTTATAACCAGTGTGAATGTTGGAGCCTGTGAGCACTTTCTCTACTTTTCAGGTTATCAAACAATTATTCCGACTAAACACTATTGTCTACCTTGAAGAAATACAGTCACATGCAATGTATAACCTCTCTAAAAATATTGATTACGTATTTCTGAGTCTACATATCTCCTATTGTAGATCCTCCTTGTGTTCTTTGGTCAGAAGTGTTGTTTATCTGTGTCTTCTATAGCCTCAGTGTGCACTGAGACCTCTCAACCAGGATAGGAAACCCCATAGTCTGACAGGAAGTGTGCTTTTCAATATAATCCTTTCTTCTCTAGAAATGGGAACATATCTGAGAATCTGCCTGGGTTTTTGAACAGATGTTCCCCTAGGCTGTGTCTCTGTGTTCATCATACACAATAGTACATGGCTGTGTCTGTGGGGCTCATGTTGGTCATAGTTAAAAACACTTGGTTTTTGGAGGTGTCTCTGGAAATTGTGAGCCGACCCTTTAGAGATGATGCGTATCTCTTATCATCATCCCAGTATATCATGGAGAGCCACTCAGGTGCCTTTCCTTGAGGCTGACGGAGTCAGGCAACACCAATATCAGTAGTGCTCAGTGAGAATCCAGAGAGGGTGCAGGTCAGTGACCGAACCTCATTAGGTTTCAGCAGCCCAGGACCAGACTCTTTCAGGGTGACCTGAGAAAGAACCCCTGTGGAAAAAAAAAACACAAAAAGAAAATAATGCAGCAAAGGGGAGACTGAGGAACACACCGCTGGCAGAACCAGGAGCCTGGAAGCCGTGCAGGCGGAAGTCGAGGCCAGGCAACACAGAGCGACTCCGACTCAAGAATTTAAGAGACTTAAAATTTCGCCCCTGAGCAATCTCTGGACCAAAACACTCACAGGAAGGGAGGGTCAGCAGCAGGACAATGGAATGAAGTAAGTCCATGGTGAAGCAGAATTCACAGATGGAGAGTCAGGGATCAGCTTTTAAATCTAGAAGAGATTCACAGTGGTGGAGATTTGCATACCCTTTAAATATTCTCTGAACGGAATTATTCAGGGGATAAGGTGCACTAGAGGATCTGTCACTGTTAGAAAAGCAGCAAGTTGTAGGGGTGGGGTCCATATTCCCTGATGTGCAAACTGACCATTGTATGTCCAGTGTATCAAGACTTGAAGTTCTTGAAGATGTAAGAGTCAATGAATGCTTTAAGACTCTGAATTAAAATTAGATATCCTCTCCTGAAAAGCCTGTTCATTGATAGTTTTACTTTGATTATTGTTCTAGGGTGTGACAAATTATCAAGAGAGGTATATTGGTTCATCTTCAAGAAAGAGATAGCAGGACAATAATAGATTTATAATGAACACTGCACTAGAATAGGTGAAGGGAAGGGATATCTGAAAATAGTGTATCACTAGGTATCTTATGTATGGCAATTAATGATCTAGAACATGATATGCATTACAAAACAAATTGGGGAATAAGGAGGAAGGAAAATTTGGATCATTGAGTGAATGAAATTCCATCTTTTCTGTAAATTATCAGAAAAATAAAAGTTTAAAAAAGGAACAAAGAGATATTTGCTTTGGGAAGAGTAACCGTTATTCCCAAATGCTATTTTAGCTCACCACTAATAAGTTAAATAATAGGGTGATTGCTGAAAATTTGGAAATCTGTCAAGTAGCATCGTACACTTTCTCCTGACCCTTCAGTAATTATTTATGCTCATCAAAATCAGTGTAATTCACCAAATTAAAAAAGTAAATAATAAGAAACATATGATCCTGGCAATACATACATAAAAGTCTTCAAAAAGAAAACAAACCAACCCAACACACTTTCCTGATTAAGATACTCAGCAAAATAGGAATACAAGGGACTCCCACAACTTAGTGAATAGTATGAGCTGATAGCATTCTCAATGGAGAAAGACTAAAAGTATATTCCATGTGAACAGGGACCAGACAGGGATGTCCACTGTCACCATTTCTATTCAATATTGTATTGGAATTCCTAGCTAGGGTGATACTACAAGAAAAGGAAATAAAAGGCATCCAGATCAGCAAAGGGATGGTTAACTGTCACCATATTCAGATAATATTATATTGTACATAGAAAATTCCAAGGACTCAACAGAAAAAACAAACAAAAATTGTCAAAGCTAGTGGACCAGTTTAGTAGGGTGACAGGACACAGGATCAATATCTAAAAGTCAGAGAGATTCCTCTACAGTAACAAAGAGGATGAACCAGGAAAGCAATAAAACTAGAATACTATTCACAGCACAAATTAAGATGCTGGGAATGAATCTAAACACAGACTAGAAATTAACCACATTCAGGGTACTTCACCTGACCAAAATTAAATTCTTCTCAAGTGCACATGGTACATTCTTCAGAATTGATCATATATTAATACAAAAAAAAAACCTTCTCAGGCCACAGTGAGAATATCCCTGGGCCTCCAAAAGAAAAAGACTGATAACCAAATTACAAAATGGGGAAAAATCATGGAAAGATTTTTCACAGAGCAAGACAGTCAGATAGCCAACTGACACATGAAAAAAATGTTCAAAATCCCTGGCAATAAGAGAGATATAAATCCAAACCACAATGAGACACCATCTCATCTCAGCAGCACTGAAAAAGTTTAGCAGGGTAGGAAGGAATAAATGTTGGAGAGGATGTGGGGAGGTGGGAACACACATACACTGTAGGTGGGATTGTAAAATGATACAGCCATTCTCAAAGGCAGATTGGTGCTTCCTCACAAATATTAATATAGAAACTCCATATGGCAAAGCTTTCATTGCCAAGAATATATTCCAAGGGAATTAGAACTGAGACACAAACAGAGATTTATATATCAGTATTCATAGCAGCGCTATTCATTATTGTAAGAACAGGGAATCAGCTTAAATGTCCAATAATAACTGAATGAATTGAGCAATTGTTGTATATATTCATACAATGGAATACTATGCAGTACTCAAGAGCAGCAATTTTGAAGAATACTACGTAACTTGGGAGAAACTGGAGAGCATATGCTGAGTGAACTATATCGTCTTAAAAAGATAAAGACCATTACTGTAAAAACGGAAGTATAACTCCTGTAAAAACAGGAGTAAACACAGAAACTAATAAAACATCCCAAGGGAGAAAAAGGTGTGAGCAGATGGGTTCAAATGGGTAGGAGCAAAATCACATGGTTGCACTATTTGGTGGATAGAGGGATGAGTAAATAAAATGGGAATCATCTGGATGGGGACCTGAAAGACAGGGTAATGGTGGAATAATCCAATGGTGATTAATTTTACAAAATATACTGAGTGGGAATTATTATATGAAACACCTTGTGTATGAAGAATAGCATGAAACACAATGTATGCAAACTTTGTAAGCAAACTAATATAGAG